TTACAACCAGCTCAGGTTGTGAGTTTGTTTTTTTTACATTTAATATAAAAAAGTCTTTCATTTATTGAATTATAAACGCGAAAACAATATCGAGTTTTTGAAAAAAAAATAAAAAGAATAAAAACGAAAAAAAAAAGATGATAACAGTTACCGCTTATAACAGTGTTTCTTCTTTCCAAATAATTAGGTTTCAAGATATTATTAATTCAAGATATTGATTAAGTATTATCTTTTTAATTATAAATATTCATTATGTTCACCTTAAACATTATCTTGATTTTTCTTATTAAAAGTAATAATTATTGAGCCTTATCACAAACATATTTTAAAAACAATAAATTTTATCAATATAAATAAATACTGTATTTAACGTAATCGAAAATGTAGTCACTTATTTATTAAATAAAACCTGAAATAATTATAAACAATAAGATTCTAATATCCATTTCCACCAATGTGGATTAACTTTAATTTGGTTCAACTTAATCAAGATTAAAATGAATCTATATTGATGGAAACAGGTATAATAGAACCAAAATGAAAATTAAAACGTATTAAATTAAGGAAAGATTTTTGTTGCGAAAGGTTAACGGTGCATAGTATGATATATGTCAAATAATGGCGAAGAAAGTATCGCCCACTAATGAAATATATTATACGTCTTTCTTTACCAATGTTTGATTGCCCTCCCCCCCCCCCCAGCAAAAGGGCATATAATGCATAAACACAGACGTCGGTGAAAGTTGCATACGATGTTTGACTTTTGCAATTAAACCGGGCCAGCTTTCCATGCGTCGCGATTCGTTTCTTTTCGAGCGATTCGGTTTCATTAGTACCGCGGGTAATCCGCCTCTCTAATTTCGCCACTCGCCGTCGCCGTCGCGTACTTTCTAATAAAATTGCGGTCAATCATTTCCAGTTTTCTGACGCAGCGCGATTGCAAGCTACATGCAGCGGTGGACAAAATATCGTGTAAAATTATTTCACTTTCATGATTTTGGCGATATTGAGCACTCATACAACAATTAAATATACGTACGATTTAAATTTAGTTATAGAAATTTTTGATGAACATTATTAATAGATTAAATTATGTCTTTTTTTATTCATACAAAATGATTTTCGACTGACTATAAACACATCGTATCATCTTAAATAAACATCCTTGATGCTAGAATCAGAATAAATATCTATAGAAATGAAAGAACTGAATTCGAACAAAAACGTAAACGTATTCGCAGTTAACAGTTTTTCTCGTAGAAGAGAACATTTATCGCGAGAATCAAGATCGAAGTAGAGCAAAGCCAGTATTCAAACAGCGTCAATTTTCATTGATCATATATGTGACCCTACAGAATTAAATACACTTAAGAATGACCAGAAACGAAGCTACGCAGCAAATGAACGATTCAAAATAATTCAGAACAAACAGTCCTCCGGCAAAAGTAGAAAAGTAA